CCGGGAGCCCGCAGTCTGGGCCGCGCACGGAAGGGTCACACCCAAGTTTGACAGCCCCCTGGATGCGCCCCCGAAAGGCATTGTCCGGGGTCCAGACCCGCCCTGCAGGGGGCTGACGGCTGGCGGGGGGCCCTTCAGCGAGACGGGAGCCCCTGCCCCTGTGGGCAGACGTGTGTTCGAGACTTCCCGGGAGGGAGGCGACACGTGGGAACGGTAGCGGCCGTGGCTGGACCAGGAAGCTGAGGTTCAGGGTTCAGTCACTTGCCTGAGGTCACAGGGTTACTGAGTGGCAGGGCTTTAAACCGGCCTGTGATCGGTAAACCTGTGCTCTTTTTTTTTTTTCCTTCTGTGTGGCCTACGTTCTTAACCTTAACCTCGTGCCACCTCCTCAGATGCGGAGGGGAGATTCACAGACCAGTTAGAGAACATCAGTGGTCAAGATAAGACACACTGGTGGTAAAGCCCCTGAGATCAGACAGAGGAGAGCCCCCAAGCTGTCCGCCGGGGTCCGCGGGGAGTAACTGGAGAGGAGGTGGACAGGCTCCCTTGCCTGCTAGCAGCTCCCAGTCTGCAGGGAGACAAATAAGGAGTTACACTCTGTCGGTTCTCAGCGCACGCTAGAGTGAGTCTGGGAACCCCAAGTGCTTGGGCCCTAGGGGAGGCAGTGAGCAACTCTGACTCTCGGTGGGTCTAGGTTTGCAGGAGGAGGAACCCTAGGTGGTGCAAAGTGGTTAGGGAAATGGGAAGAGGTCCAGTGCAGCTGGAGGACCCCAATCAGTGCAAGTGGGCCGGAAGGACAGGGGGATTCGAAGTGGCCTGACAGAGGGGAGGGGGCGCCAAGACCTGAGCTGGGGGAGCACCCTCACAGCTCGCCTTGGGCACCTGCAGTCCCCAAGGAGCAGGGTGTCGGATCAGTCACTTCAGCGCCCTCCTGTCTGTGGGAACGAGAAGTGGGGGTGTTACAGAATATAGGAAGTTAAGTAATTTCCCCTTTCCTGTGTAGACAGTGTGACAGTAAGCTCTTGGAGGCCAAGGCTGAATCTGCTCTCAGCTCCCCAGCGGTCCCAGGTCTCTGCATTGTGGGCATGGAATACGTGCTTGTGAATCACGGGGCCAAGCATGGTTCTCCTCCTCACCACTCCCACTAAAGTGGGAGCTCTTGAAGGGAATGCTCTGTCTCAGGGTCTGGGCCACAGGGCCTAGCACAGTGCCAGGCACACAATGAGTATGCGCCGATGCTTGGAGAACAGGCACTGATCTGCTCTCCCAGGGCACGCCAGACCTCGTGAGAAGCCTGACAGACTCTCCCCACCCCTGCTTCCAGCCCCAGCCTCATGCTGCCATTTCTCACCCCCAGAGCAGGCTGCCCGCCTGAAGAAACTGCAGGAGCAAGAGAAACAACAGAAAGTGGAATTTCGTAAAAGGGTGAGCCCAATGGAGATGGCAAAAGCAGCCTCAGGAAGGACTTCCAAGAAGTTAGAGTTGGAAGGTTGAGGACTCAGGTTTTCCCAAATGTCTCCCGTGAGAAGCCTGGAGGCCAGTGGCATGGAGGCTGGGGAAGGTGTGGGGGGCAAGGCCCGCTGGCCCGGCTGGGGACAGGGGTTCTGGGGTGGAGCAGTCACCTCATGTCTTCCTCTTCTGTCTCCCAAGATGGAGAAAGAGGTGTCAGATTTCATCCAAGACAGTGGGCAGATCAAGAAAAAGTTTCAGCCGATGAACAAGATAGAGAGGAGCATCCTGTGAGTGTCTCTGGGCTAGGGGAGATGTGAAAGGGCCAGCAGGGGACTCCTAAGAAGGGGGTGCTGGGCCCCTGGCGGCCCTACATACTCTCCCCTCCGGCGTCCCTACCCAGACACGATGTGGTGGAAGTGGCCGGCCTGACGTCCTTCTCCTTCGGGGAAGATGATGAGTGTCGCTACGTCATGATCTTCAAAAAGGTGAAAGGCCCAAGCCCCCCGCCCTCCTCTCTCCTTTTCAGCCTGCGCCCCCCCCCGGGGGAGAGGCCTGCGTGAAGCCCGTGTGTGGAGCCTCGACCCCATGGTTCCTTTGTCCCCAGGAGTTTGCACCCTCTGATGAAGAGCTGGACTCCTACCGTCGCGGGGAGGAGTGGGACCCCCAGAAGGCTGAGGAGAAACGGAAGCTGAAGGTGAGCTCCGCCTGGCAGCCCACCCCCGGGAGGGGTGGGGACAGGCCCCCGAGCGCTGGTGCCTGGCCTCTGCACCCCTAGGAGCTGGCCCAGCGGCAGGAGGAGGCGGCGGCCCAGCAGGGCCCCGTGGTGGTGAGCCCCGCTAGCGACTACAAGGACAAGTACAGCCACCTCATCGGCAAGGGCGCAGCCAAGGACGCGGCCCACATGCTGCAGGCCAACAAGACCTACGGCTGCGGTGAGGCCCCGTGGGGGGCGGGGGCGGGGGGCGGGGATGCAGGGCTCCCAGGCCCTGCCCACACTCCTCTCCCACCCCCACCCCCCAGTGCCCGTGGCCAACAAGAGGGACACTCGCTCCATCGAAGAGGCCATGAACGAGATCCGGGCCAAGAAGCGCCTGCGGCAGAACGGGGAAGAGTTGCCGCCTACCTCCTAGGCACCGCGGCTCCCCGGGGCAGGGCAGGGGGCGGGGCAGGGGGCGGGGCAGGGGGCGGGGGGACAGGCTGCTGCTACTAGACCCATCCTGGAGCCCCACCTCCGCAGCACCTCCCGCCGGCCTCACTCGGGCTGGGGGCCGGTGGTCTCCGCGTCACTGTCGGAGCCTGGCTGTGTGCGTGCGTGTGTGCGTGTGTGCGAATGCGCAGGTGGGTATTTAACGTGTATCATTCTCCTTTCTCCTTGGAATTTCCTTCCCCGTGGGCTGGGATGACTTACATTCAATAAACACTGTTGACCCAACATCCCGGTTTGTTTGGACAGAGAAAGGTGGGTCCCGGGGAGGAAGAGAATTTTAGGTCGAACAGTCTACGATGGTTGTGCTGGTCAAGGATGGCCAAATACTGGCACTTTCCTGGGGTCTATTGGGAGATAGCATTCAAAGAGCACACTCGCTAGAGACAAACGGCCCGGCTTTGGCTCCTGGCTCCGCCGGTAAGGGAGACTTTCTCTGCCTTGGTTTCCCCACACATAAAATGGGGAGAAAACGGTCACTCTCTGATGGCGCCGGTTCACAGAGAGCACAGGTCGGTATGTCAAGTGTCTGCAAGGGTTCCGGATCCTGAAAGCTTCATGAGCGTGGGGCGCTCAGACCCCTGTCCCCACCCCCCGGCTCCCCCTCAGCCTCCTTCCAAAGTGTGAAGCCGTCCCTCCCCTTCCCTCCGTGTCCCAGCAGGTCACCCGAGTGTTCCTCCCTTCCTGCCCCCACCTCTCTCTGTCTTGCCCGGAGACTGGCATCCCCTCCGTCCCACCAAGGAGCACACCACCGTCTTGCTTGCCACCAGTGTTTATTCCCCCAGGGAAGGGCCTGAAGGCCTAGATGGGTCCTGTGAGGTCTTGGGGCCTGCAGCTTCTCACTTGGCCTTCGGGTTACGGAACTTGTGTCCCGCAAAGACAGCCTTGTCCCCGAGAGCCTCCTCGATCCTAGAAGGCAGGCACAATCAGAGCTGCGCTCTTCAACCCAACAGCGCCGGGCTCCCCTCATCCGGGCCCACCGCAGCCCCTGTACCTCATGAGCTGGTTGTACTTGGCCAGACGCTCTGAGCGGCAGGGAGCACCAGTCTTGATCTGGGGAGGAAAGGGGAGTTCCCATGGTTGCATGAGGCTGGAGGTGGGAGCGGCCTGTGGTGGCAGGAATCCAGGGACCCCAAGGAGGCCCGTGGGTACCTGTCCCGTGCAGAGCCCCACGACGAGGTCGGCGATGAACGTGTCCTCAGTCTCCCCGGAGCGGTGGCTCACCATCACCCCCCAGCCGTTAGACTGAGCCAGTTTGCAGCTGGGCAGAGAGGACACTCAGTAAGGTGGGCCGGGGCCTCCGAGGGAAAGCCAAGGGCTGGGTGCGGCTTTTCCCTTCGGTTTGGGGGAGTGGGCTCTTTGCGGGGAGAGAACTAAGTTCTTTGGGGAGCAGGAGAGAAGGGGAGAGTTGATTTTGAATGTGGGCTCCTGAGATGCCGGTGGGAAGGAAGGGCAGAACCAGGGAGAGAGGAACCGCGTGGGCTGGGCATGGGGCACGGCAGGGTCACCGGGGCAAAGCCCTGGGGTCAGGAGGGTGGGGACGGGGCAGGAGCCGGGGCAAGTCAGACGCGGCAGGCCGGGCAGAGCTGGGGCAGAGGGAGGCTGCGGCCGCCCCGGGGCCAGCAGGCACTCACGCCTGGATGGACTCCGTCACTGAGCCAATCTGGTTGACCTTCAGCAGCAGGCAGTTGCAGGCTTTCTTCTCAACGGCCTGGGCAATCCTCTTGGGGTTGGTGACCGTGAGGTCGTCCCCCACGATCTGGATGTTCACCCCCGAGAGGAATGAGGTCCAGGTGGCCCAGTCATCCTGGTCAAAGGGGTCCTCGATGGAAACCACTGGAGGGGGTGAGGCAGGAGCCCGGGTAAAGGTCAGAGGGGCCTCACGGGGCAACAGGCCGGAAGAGTCGGGGTGGGGATTTCCGCGGGGCTGAGGACCGCGAGGGCCGCGGCGGTGGCAGTCACCGTGTTGGGCGGCCGCCGCCGGGGTCTCGGGCAGGAGCGACGGACCAGCTGGGGGTCTCACCAGGGTAGTTCTTGATGAAGTTCTTGTACAGCTCCCCCAGCTTCTCCCCAGTGATGTGCCGCGAGGGGTCGTCAGGGGACTTGAAGTCGAGGTCGTACTTCCCGTTGCGATAGAACTCGGACGCTGCCACGTCCATGCCGATGACCACCTTGTCGGGGTAGCCGGCCGCCTGGATGGCGGTCTTCAGCAGCTCCAGGGCTGGGGGAGGGGCGACAGGGCACCTGAGGCTCCAGGGCCCGCGGTCTCTGCAGCCCGCCCTCCACGGGGACGCGGGGGGCCCTGGCCCTCAGAGCGCTCACACTGACCCTCGTTGTTCTCCAGGATGTTGGGTGCAAAGCCACCCTCGTCGCCCACGTTGGTGGCATCCTTCCCGTACTTGGCCTTGATGACCCCCTTGAGGTGGTGGTAGACCTCGGCACCGATGCGCATAGCTTCCTTGAAGGAGCTGGCTCCCACGGGCAGGATCATGAACTCCTGCATGGCCAGCTTGTTTCCAGCGTGGGAGCCCCCATTGATCACGTTGAAGGCCTGGTGAGGGGGAGGGTGGGGGAGGGGCGGCTCAGACCCCGCCAGCTGGGAGGGTCCAGGCGGAACCCTGGCTTCCCGAATTAGCAGCCGCGGGTCTAGAGGGAGTCCTGTCACTCCTCAGGGTCTCTCGTCTCGTTTCTTTCTTTCTTTTTTTTTTTAAAGATTTTATTTATTTATTTGAGACAAAGAGAATGAGAGAGAGAGAGCACATGAGAGGGGGGAGGGTCAGAGGGAGAAGCAGGCTCCCCGCCGAGCAGGGAGCCCGATGCGGGACTCGATCCAGGGACTCCAGGATCATGACCTGAGCCGAAGGCAGTCGCTTAACCAACTGAGCCACCCAGGCGCCCTCTCGTCTCGTTTCTGTAAGACGGGGAATACAACCCGCTGTCCCGCGGGATCTTACGCTGAAAGTCAAACAAACGGACTGAAAATCAGGCCCCGCGTGTGCCTCACCTGCGACAGCTAGCGGACGGCACTTACGGCAGGCCAGGTGCTGCCTGGGAGCCTTCCGTGGGGTCCCTGAGCTCCCTCCCTGCCCCCGGCACCCCTGTTAGCCCGGTCCTGTTACCACCCCCACTTCACAGACAAGCAAACGGGGGCAGAGAGCGGATGTGCGGACTCGCCTAAGATCACACCCCAGCAGACAGGCAGGCCAGCCGCGCCCCGAGCTCCGCGCGAACGCAGTCCGCCCAGTTAGGGCGCAGTAAGGGGTCACGTTACTCCCGACACGCGACAGGGGCTTGGGCCTGATGAGGATTCGCGGAGATACAGAGAGAGGCCAGACCCTCGCCACGAAGCAGCTCCCGATCTGACTCGGGGACTGGGCCTAGCGCCGGAATGGGAAGGAGCGCAGGGTTACGCCAAGGGAAGCAGCGGGGCGGCTTGGATTGTGGGAAAGAGGGAGGGGCCGGCCGCAGCTGGAGAAGTTCCATGTCAGGAAAGCGTGTCTTTGGAGCTGGGTCTGGAAGGTAGACTTTCCAGGGGCGGCTCAGTCACTGTGGCACGGGGCAAGGGCGGCTGCACTCACAGGGACCGGGAGGACCAAGTCCGGGTTCCCGGCGAGGTCCGCGACGTGCCGGTAGAGCGGGACCCCCTTCTCTGCTGCGCCAGCCTTGCACACGGCCAGGGAGACGCCCAGGATGGCATTGGCCCCAAACTTGGCTAGAGGAGGCAGGCACAAAGAAAGGATGAGGGCTTCTCCTGCAGGGCTTGGATCACCCCAGGAAGCATCTGCAACGCCAGACCACTGGGCATGAAGGGTGTGCTAATGGCGGTCTCCCCCAGGAGCCCCCGCCCCAGGGGAATGTGTCAGCTTCAAGTCTGTGTCCACGGCCCGGCCAGGCCTGGCGGAGGACAGGCACCAGGAAATGCCTGTGGAATGAATACAAACCCAGCCAGCCACGGTGTGCCCCAAACTGTGGGACACAGAAGTAATCCTAACCAGAGCTCCGACCCAGGGTCCCTCCCCCTAGCCTTGCACTCACACTTGTTCTCAGTCCCGTCCAGCTCGATCATAAATTTGTCAACTTTTTCTTGATCCACGACGCTTAGTTTCTGGAAGGAGAGGTTGGGGGCGGGGGGTGGGGGGAGAGCAGAGGTCACATTTCTCAGGAGTCAGGGCATGTGCGGGAGGAAGTGCAGGTATTTGGGGGAGACAGGCTGGCGGGCCAAGCAAGGCCTCTCCCAGGTGAGAGCTGCTGGGGGTGAGGTGACAAGGACATGGGGGCAAGGAGCAGGCTCCCTCTTGCCTTTTCCAGCAGAGCGGGGCCTAGGGTCTTGTTGATGTGTTCCACGGCCTTCAGGACCCCTAGAGAAGCCGGGGGGGTGGTTCAGAAATCTGATTTGATCAGGCTCCTTAAGAGCATTGGGTTCCAGTCCTCTACACCCCACGAGGCTGCTGAGGGCCCAGGTCCTGACCCCACCCACACACACAGGCTCCTCCGGCCACCATCTTCCCTCACCTTTCCCCATGTAGCGGGATTTGTCTCCATCTCTCAGTTCCAGGGCCTCATAGATACCCGTGGAAGCTCCGCTGGGCACAGCTGCTCGGAATCGGCCTGGGTAGGTTGAAAGGGAACGTCACAGAGTCCCCTGCATCCCCAAAGGGCCGAAGTATGCTGAGCCCAGGCCGGGGGCCAGTGCAGAGGGAGACTCCTGCTTCTCCGGACCAGGGAGCCAGGATGGAAGGGGAAGAACTCTGGGGAAGGGGATCCCTGAGAAAGGAGAGCATGTGGGGCAGAACTGGGGGGGAAGGGGCAAGGACACACGGGGCTGGGGTCTTCCAAGGCGAGGCCACTCCAGAGGCCTGTGTTACCCTTGGCCGTGTGCAGGTCCACCTCTACTGTGGGGTTGCCCCTGGAGTCCAGGATTTCCCGGGCAAAGATCTTCTGCATGGCCATGGCTGCAAGGCAGGAGGTGTGACTGAGTGTGGACAGTTGATCCCTGAAGGAACCCGAAATCCCTTGCCCTTTAAGAGTCTTCCCCACCCCAAGAAGGCAGGTGCGGGAGCTAAAAATATCCCACAAAAAGGTCACAGACCAAAGAGGCTGGCGCAGCCCCCTCCCCCACTCAGAACAGCTCCTATTGCACCTCCATCCTAAGGATCCAGGGACCTCTCCTTTAACTGCACCCTCTGCACGGCTCCCTGGCCCCTGCCCCACAGCCCGCAGAGCTGCCCTG